ATGGTATTCTGACAGAGAAGCTAACAAAAATATTTAGACAGACATCTTTTATTTCCTGTTTTATTTATGTCAGAGTTTATTTACACAGTGAGTGCAAGGGCTGTAAAAAGAACTACAGGTCTTAAAAGCCCCTTCTTCAAAGCTGTATATTTGAAATGTATGAAATTCATGCAAAGATTCGGTTAAATTGTTTCTTGCAACAAACAAATGAGAAACTGTAGACCATGACCCAACAAAGCTACGCAAATTTACAGAACTTCGGTTCCATTACCTTGACAAAACTGAGACATGAGATTCACAGGTTCAATTCTGCAACACGAGTACATATTGAAGCGCAGTGCCTAGTTTTATGCAATTGACTTTCACAGCTACACCTATTAATCACAGATGAGGAAAAAAAATCTTCCTAGCAACAGCCCAAACAACTGAATTGCTAAGACTTCTGATGCAGAAGAGATCACAAAATGAAAGATACTCCCAATCTTACAGAAAACATACACTTCAGTACTTCAAAATGGTTGTTACTTTTCTTGTGATTTGATGCACACTATAAATGGGACAGTGAACATTATCTTTAATTGATAGATAAAAATATATACTGGTAGGAGTGAAGTATCTTAACGTTTCTCAGGTTCATGTTTTTCCTGAGAGAAAATAAATAAATCAATTCATGAGAACATAACCACCTTCTCTTGCTCTTTACTGTAGATGATCCAAGAACAATGCAATGACTTCCTAACTTAACCTTCCATGCATCTATCATGCCGCAAATAGTGGAAATAGTGTCAGGAACAAACAAACCAGTAATTCTCTCAACTGCATAAATGTCTCTATGATAAAAGGCACAGAAAGACAAATTTAGTCGAGATATCCTAGGGAAGAATGTGGTCCGGAGGCTGACAAACAAGCCCAGTATGAGACACCAGAGCTTTTATGCAAGACGAACTGATGAAAACAATAGGGACTCTTCTGCCTTTGCTTCAGTCTCATCATTCCTACTAGCATCAGTTGCAGCTGTACGTATGTACGAAGGAGAAAACAGACTCCACCACATGCCAGGCTTCCTTAATTGTTATGGAAGTACTAAAAAGGGAATGCAGTGGCACCCTAAGTGTTTTGTGTCTCAGATTGTTAACACTGCATTGCATAAGGTTCATTAAAGGAAGATGCCACCCTGTTGTAACCAAAGGATATATACATGGCCATATATAGAATCAACTTGCAGCCCTACTGATACCAATTTCCTTACTATCATTCACACCTTTGTCCATTGTGCCACAGTCCTATGTCATTTTCTATGGTATTTAATGTTTTGGAAAAGATTTGGATCTTAGCGGGTTGAAGGCAGTTTTGATCTACCATATTTATTTTCTGATCAAAGAGGGTGCAGAGCACGCACCCCATCAGCTCATCCACGTTGTCCTACAAAACCTGATAAACAATCCCATTAGATTCCTTGCTGACCCCAAGTAAAGTTTGGGCTGTAATGACTCCAGATCATACCATGCAACAGATTTGAAACAGAGCACAAGGAATTTGATTTTCAATTTCAAAATGCACTATTCTCAGAAGAGAAAAGAATAGTTGCTGTTAGGGGGCAGAGTGGAAGAACGTGACCATTTCATTTGCTGCAGCAAATAATAGGCTGCAATATGCAAGACCTGCAACACTTTCATTGTTTTGACCACTTCTAGGATAGAGATTCAGCCTTGGATACATTTCAATCCAAACTCTACATTGTCAAAGCTGGACTTAAGCCCTAAGTCCTTAGGGCTATCCCAAGTATATATCCCAACTATAAGCCCTGCCAATGGAGCTGTATCACTGCCAAAGCTTTACCATCAGCCTGCACAGACCTACCATGGCCACCACTCATGCACAGGCCCTTGTATAGAACGAACAGAACTGGTGTTTATGAGACAGCTTTATCAAGAAATAAGGACAAGATGACTTAAAAGTAGGAGGAGGAGTTCACTATTCTACTGAACATATGTGTGTTGGTAAAGCCTGCCCTGTATTAGCCAATGTATGCTTGAAAAACTATATGCAGTAGAGCAAGAACATGATGAGAAAGTAGCTCTCAAGAGAGCCATCCGTCAAGATCCTACCTCCCACCAAAGAGGACAGGTAGGGACATGTTTGATTTGGTGAATCAGCAAGCAGGAATACTAACCACTGATGTAAGGCAGCAAAGCACAATATGCTGTCAGGGGCTTGGTGTACTTTATATAATGTATACTCATCTAGCAGAGCTTTATAGCATCCTTTCCTCTGTCCTCTGCAACACAGTTGTCCTCTGCAACACAGATCCTTTCCTCTTAACCCTGCAACACAGTTACTATTACAGAAGTCTTACTTAGTCCTCAGTGCACAAACCAGTAAGCACATTTTTGCATATTATGGGCAACACAACATTTATCTATTGCACATACCTGGAGTGAGGCAGCCCAGGGTTTCTTCAGTGACTGCAACTGGTTTTGTTGCCTGCAGAGCTGTACCCCGTAATGCGTGCCCACCCCAGTATTTTTCTGGGAAGGCTTGGTTGCAGCTCTGGCTAAAAAGCGTCACAGAATTAATTCAGAGAACCTGACTTTCAGGGTTTCATGGCTCCCCAGCAGTTCTAGTCTGGGGGAAAATCTTCACTGCATAAGAAATTCATGGCAAAATTCATTGAGAGCTTTTCAGTTCATCAGAATGGGCATTGCTTTGCATGACTGTGATGCAAACTCACAACTCCGTTTCCACGGATTTTTTTTTTTTCTGATTTCCTATGCCATTACTGGCTAATATTTAATTTGCAAGTCAGGGACATCATATTATCATAAGAAAGGTAGCAGGTTACAGTTGGCAGCAAGTGGGAGCATGAATTATTTAGTTCTGAAATGCTCTTGTCAGATATTTAAGCTACGCTAAGACACTTTCCATTATAATAATTTCTCTCGTACATTTAGCAACATGATTTTCCAACACAATACCAGAATAATAAAAGTAATTTTTATTAAATACTCCTTCCCACAAATGGCATGCAAGTTTGGCTCCTCTTTGTATAAAGATCTATTACTGTCTATTTCAGTACCTAAAGGCTTCCTTATGCTGGTATCGATGTCAGTAGTGTCTGGAGAGAGAATAATTTGTGAAGTAGGAGGAAAGAAAGCCTACTGAGGAGATCTAGAATCATCTTCTCCTGGCATGTATTTGTTTGTATTGTATCCCTGCAGCCTGATGCATCTCAAAAACAAGATAAATGTTCTCTAGACTTATCCTCAAATAGATATAAATGCCAGGAGTAGAAAAGGTAATTTAAAAGTATCTTTAAGAGCTTCTCCATTGCTATCTTCATTGTCAGTAACAAAGGCCAGATTCAGAAACTTCACTGAAACCAGTAACTTCACATCACTTATTTCATCCACAAGCTTAACATTTTTAACTTCCAATAACATTAATCAGTCAGGAGCTTTGCTGAAGAGTATGTGAGTGCAAAGTCTCCCTGTATGCCTCCCCCACTCAGACATCCAGCCCTCCTTCCTCCAGCACACCAGTGCTTTGTCATTCCCCAATTCTGTCCCACTGGGAAGGACCACACTGCCTCCTTTCTCCCCACGCTCCCTGGTTTTGTCTGGTTTCCACTGTGCCAGGAGCCCTGCTGGGTGCTACGGTCTTCTGAGCCTCTTTCACTCCTTCGTCCTGCACACCCTTGTCCTCACCCTTCCTTCTGCTTGGGACAGAAATCACTGGGGTACCAAAAGGAGGGCTCCATTAAGAGGTTTTTCTTAGCCACTTTGCCCCATCTCTCTCCCTCCTCTTTCCACCAGTGAAGGTTACCAGCCTCTGAGCTGCACCAGTTCAACTGCTTTTGATAGGAAGGAAAGAAGAAAGGGAGGAAAATTCCCTGGCTTTTATTGCACACTATTTCACAGAATTTATTTTTTTTTTTAAAAAAGAAAAAAAGAAGAACCACACAAAGCTGGCTTGACAAGCTAACAAAAGCCATACTGCTGCCCAGTGGGGCTGTGGTAGCATGTCCTTAGCTACATGGGGCTGGTGGGCAGAACAAACAGAAATCAGCCCCTTTTGGTAGCCAGTAATTAGCATTTTGCTTCAGGGTGGTAACAAAGATAAAGGCTACTTAAGTCTCTCAGCAATACATCATAGATCCCTAGCATCCAAATTTCAAATTTTCAGTAGATTTCTGCTTCCTGGTCAAAATAAGTACCTACTAGCAGAAAAATGCTAACGTCTAGTTCTATGCTCTATCCATAGAGCCCTCACAGAAAGTACCATTATCCACCATCCAGGTGCTGGTATCACACAGCAGCCACCGGTTCTGACCATTTTCACCTGAGTGCTGGCAGTTTTTCCTACCTGATGAATCCTTCCTTCAATTGTAGCAGTCCAAGAGTAACAGCTCTTTGCAGCTGATCTTTAGCATATGAAGAGACAAGCAGCTTTTCCTAACAAATGTGGAACCTCAGCAGGCATTTCTTATCCTTGTTTTCTCGGTCACCAGCTTGATATCTCAAGTCATTTTTACCCATTTTGGTATTATTGGTCAGACTAGTATGATATATATACACAAAGCATCTATTTCCTCTAATATTTTTCTAAGCTAAAGCTTTTATGCTTATCATTTTACATCAACTTGGCCTAAATTTCATGTAAAGCAACCCAAATTCAGAGGACATTGTTTTGCTTTACTCACCCTTCTCCCAATAAGCTCTGAAGCTTTAAAATTACTATTGTATTTTTAATTTTTAACATCCAATTTTTATTAAGTTTTTAAGGACTTTTAAGCACTGAATAATAGTGTATGGAGAAAATAGCAACAAAAATGCAAAGATCCCAAATGTAGTAGGTAAACTTACTCCTGAAACCATTCTTAGTTATTAATCAGTAATGAAAAACAGTGTAAAACCTGAAAAACAGGGGGAAAAAATCGCTGCTTATGCAATATTTCCACCAGGAAACTAACTTCAGCTTATGCTTTATCCCGTTTTCTTTAGATGTTTTTTGAGCAACCACCTTTCCTGTTACAAGTCTCCATTTCTGGAGCTTCCCAATGATTCACAATGGAAATAGCTCCACAGCCTGAGGATCCTAACCCTGGGCCTCAACCTCCATCAGCAACAGCCAGCCTGATCCTCAGGGATCCAAGGTGGATCCACAGACCTTCAAGGGACAAAGAACCTGAGATGTAAACTGGTACAATAGTTATATTGCACCACCTCGATGTCATAAACAGGTGACATCCTTAGCTGTTCCTGGGTCAAAACCAGGTGAAACTTGCCACGTGGGGTTCTCTTGGTTTATTCTAGATGAAGGCAAGCAAGTAGGGACCTCACCTACAATCTGCCAGTGGGTTTTCCCTGGACAAGACAGTAGGACTCCCTGTACACACTGTCTTCTAGCTCGTTAACTACAACATGGGTGAGCCTGACCCAGGCCTGGTCGTTTTTCCAAAAGTCTCACAAAGTCGGTGGGTGGAGTTTGGGAGGTGGGGGTGGTAGTGTTTTGGGGATTTTTTTATTCCATCTTCTCACAAATTCTCATGACTAGAATCCCACATGCCCTTTTTTCCTTTTTCTTAAAGCATAGTTTCTGGCCACTTCTGGTGCAAATAAAGGCTTGAATAATAAGCCCCAAAAGCTCAAAAAAAAAAAAAGCGTCAGACAAAAGGAACCACTGGTTCTAAATTTCTTATCTAAACCAGCCTTGTTATTTTGGGTCCTGGTTCCTAGCCGTTGGCTGGCTAAGTGGTGGCAGCAGGAATCAGCAAGGTTTCCAGGGCAATCAGCAGCGTGGCTGTTGTGCAGTGCTTCAAGAGAAAATCCTGCCACCCTGCGCTGTCGGCAGCGCCTCAGACACATCTGTGATGTGAGACACACAACGACGGACAGAACGGTCCCCTAAATCTGCTAGCTTGCAAAACACTGGGCAAAGATCACATGCTGTTTTCCATCAGATAATGAGTAACTCGGTGGAAGAGCCTACACTGACAAACATCTGAGCTTTACCAGCCAAGCCTACTGGCAAACTGGGAGAGGGAGTTTATATGGGAGTAATCTTTAATTCTCTTGCCAGCTCCCCAGATGGACCAGATTATACCAAAGGGATCTTTCCTCCCTCCCTTTTCCAATATGACTGTGTCCATTTAAGAACTTTTACCAACATAGCTCTCTTCATTAATGACGTGGGAGGTTGTTTTGGTTTTTAGCATATTTCCAGCTGACAGCTAATCTCACAAAACATTTTAAGCACAGACCAAATCAAGACATTAGCTGAAGATAAAGAACAACACACCAGCTTCACATAATTCAACTCCATTTGCCTTAGCCCCCAAGCAGAGCTACTTTATATGCGTCTCCTCCTTATTTTTGTTAATGGTCCCCTCTCCTTGCTGAAACCTGGGTCACAGCAATCAAGTTCACAGCAGTTCAAAGTGGGAGGCAATTCTTGCAAAAGTTTGCGATAAACAAGCAGAACCAATGCAAAGAGCAAGATGTAGGAATCTACCCTCCTTGTCCATGATGCCAAATGGCATCACCTTTTATGTCTGTGGCAAAGCCGATACTATTGTGGGTTAAATGCCTTTCCTCTGTAGTGATAGAAACTATTCCTCCATATGCAACGCAGTGGAAAATGAGGACTCTGGGGTTTACTCACAAAATAAATGCTACAAAAATGAAGACGGCTTGTGGAAAGTTTGTGGGAAGAGCTTCTATTAAATGAAAAATGAATTTGAAATTAGGGTGACGTAGGACCACAAACATGAAGAAGTAGCTTTACCTTTATGCTGATCTTCAGTTGATGAAGAATTCTGGAGTTTTCCAGAAGCCTACAGTCTCTGGTATTCTCTGGTATATACTCTGGTATATGTTTTAGCTGATGCCCAGGTTTTTCAAACTTTGAACTCCCCGCTGTGACATCACAATTTGGGTACTCTGAAGTTCACAATGACACAAAAAGGCAGCCTTACTGGAAACAGATTGCTCTCCTCACTACTAGTCTGTTATTTCTGCAGCATATGCAGTTACACAAGGTACAAAACAGTATGGAGGTAAACTGTAAATAAACACAGATAACACAGTACGATTACAGATGACCATCACTGACATCAATTAACAATCGATGCTACAATTGGTGCTACAAAAATCTCAGAAGACACAGTAAATTCTTGCAACATATTTACCCTAAACAAGATTATTCTTCATCTTCTTAGCTGGAAAGACCATGCAAAAATAGAGAGGACCATGGTGTATCTCAAGTTTTTCCCCCATCTTTCCTTCCCAATAAAAGACCCTGAGATGGATTCTTCTCTACCTTGGCCATTGATACGAACTCTGTTTCAGCTGTTGTGAAGCAACCAGCTATTGGAATGAGAATACTGAAGAACTGATTCAATCTGAACTGGTTTGTCTGAATTACAACATTAACAATACCCTAGTTTTAGATATTAAAAAAGTCATAAGGTTCAGAATCAAAAGCTTCTTTAAGTGTAAATAGAACAAGGAGGGGAAGAGTCTTACTTTTCTTCCCGTTTTTTAAGACTTGGATGGCTTGATACTTTAGCATATCATAAGCAAACGAAATCTTGTAGCATAACAACTAGAAAACATTCTTCCCCAATTCAAAGGAAGTCCAGGAAGTAGAGACAAAAGAATTACGTATTTCAAATATTAACAAATGATATAATGAGGGTCAGCAGCATCTATCAGATGAAAAAAAAATAAAGTCTATCTGCTAACCATCTGGTAGTACGAAGACTGATTCTGAGTTAAGCTCATAAGCAAACAAAAGCAGCCCATAAACATTCACATATAGGATCCATAGTGTGGCTAATTTACTCCATTTGTATTCATGAATATGCAATTATTGAGCCAGATTTTGCCTGTTTGAGAAGAACAAACTACAGTAAGCCATGTCCACCCATATTTGAGCAGAATTTGACTAACTGCATTTCTCTTAGATGTATAGAGAGTTTAGTACTCGACCATCTCATTGTCATTGTTGCCTTGGATACAAGAACTGCTCTAAATCAATTTAATAATTAAGGATTTGATCTTGGAAGATGCTGTTCATTCTGGCTTCCATCCAGCAAAGCACTTATCCACCTGCGTACCTTTAATCACTCAAATGGTTTCAATAAAGTGGAACTACTTACATCCTAAAAGTTAAATTACATGCTTAAATCTTGCTGGATTTCAGCCAGAGCACTCAACACGTTGCAAGAACAAATACCAAGCAAGAATGGTCATTATGAAAGGGAGTAGCATAGATATGGTACGTTTTGTTGCTAAGTTTTTGTAACAGAAAAAAAGGTCCGTAGCATTGGCTTCTTAATTTGCTGCAGATTTTTATCTTTTTAGGAAGTTTGATACATGATTCAATGCATAAAATCAAAGTTATTTCAGCGTCCAACAGCATATGATAACCTAAGCAGGTATTTGATTGCCTCATGGCCCACAAAAAAGCATAAGGCATTAGCAGGAACAGATGCTTGCTGCGTTCCACAGGGTGAAACTGTGGTCTTCAGCTTCATGGTGTGTTAAGGGCTGCTGAGTTTACCAACAAAGTTTATAAATTAAAAGATCCAAATCAGACTGACTGCAGACCTTAATGTGAAGCAGGACCTCTCTCCCTTTGTCTTCAGATTGTTCAACCTTGTCCCTTACAGTGGAAGCTGAACACAATGAACACAAACAAGCCACTGTTATCAAGATAGAAGTCCCCAAGGTTAAGTTTACATATGGGGCTTTTTTCGCTAAACAGAATTAAACTGTAACCTTGGCAACAGTGGGAGGGGAAATATAAAATCACAGTATGAGAGGACTACTACTGGAAGCTCTTACACCTCTCTGTAGAAGAGCAAACAGGTTAGATTCTCCACATTCAAACTGCTCCCTTTCCTTGAACCCAGGGCTGACGTTCCCTTCCCAGCAGAAGTGCCTCACTCTGCACAGTACCTCCGTCGGTACAAAAGGCTGGGAGCAACCAGCTGGAGGGGTCTAAAGCACTGCTGGGAATGAAACTCAGGGGTGTCAACTGCAGAGTTTTCCAATATGAACACTCTATATCCACCTTCACAAGCATCAGGCTTGGCTTCCCGCCTTTGAATATTAGGATATAAAGATGGGTGTCAAGAGCCCTGCGTTTTCACAGAATTATGTAATATGGGGTTGAAAGGGACCTCTGGAGATCATCTAGTCCAACCCCCCATTTCTTTTCTCCCCATTTGAGCTAGACACAGGCTAAAAGTAGAGCCTGTTGAAGAAGGAATTAGAGTTTCATCACATTTGTCACACCAGCATGGCAAGTCCCCATACCCCATGCCACGCTGCATGCTCATGGCCAGATGAAGAATATCCACTGCCCAGCCTCTCCTCTTCACCATTCTTTAAAATTATCACTGAATTAGCCAGACAACCTTTCTGGGTGCAATTCTTCTCTGCTTTGAAATATGTAATTGACTTTCTGAAAGTGTTACTGTTCTTTTTGAGAGCATTCCAAATAGAATGGGCACAAGTGAAAGGGCTCTGGGACTCTCAATAGAGCAAAAATTCAAGCCTGGGTAGTACAGACTGTAGAGTCTACTCTTACATATAGCCCTTACCTGCACAACAGGGATAACAATGTTTTCCTTGGGGGTAGGAATGCTGTGGGTATTTGGAATATGATCCAAGATCGCAGCAGGGAAGATAAGCAAGTTTAAAAGAAGTACTTATAGACAAAGCAAGAACCATATTTCCTTTCCCTCTTAATCTCCACCCAATCAAGTTTCGAACACAGTTCTCTTACTCTATCCTTGCATTTCTTATACTTATAACTCCAGTGTTTGCTGCAGAGCACAGAAAACCCTGATACATGGGAAAAACAAGAACACATAACAATATGAAGTAGCCTGTCGAACTTCACCCCTCCCCTCCACCCATCTTCCCTCCCAACTAAATAAAGCCAGGAGAATAACATCTATAGGCCAATTAAAGTCAACAGGCTGGAGCTGCTCACAAGGGAGTAGTCACAGTCTCAGCAAACAAATCCTTTCCAACACTCTCGAGGACCATTAGCAAAAGGTCACTTTCAAGTTTTACCATTATCTCTTCAGCTGCTCAATTGGAACACACCAAAATACCACTGCCCACTAAAAGAAATCAATTTAGACAGATCAAACTGGGATTACTAATTAATTTACAAATGTGGGTGGAGGGGATGTTCAGAGTCAGTGTCTGTAGCCAGATGAGGAATCATAAGAGTCTGAGCGCTCAGCTCTGTTGACCCCTCACTCCTCCCCAGGGTTAACTAAGAAAGCCTGAATATTTTTGTGAGGTTTCTAAACACCTTTTTAAATGCCTCCCTCATCCACATTGCACAGGTTTAGCTGTACTCGCTTCTCAGAAAAAGGCCTTGATTTGCCCCTCCTGACTTCCTCTGACACATTTTCCTCTCCCACGGTTAGGTGCCAGCCCAGGTGTCCCTCCTCTCAGCAGCTGCCAGCCGCACTGTCACAGCTCCCCAGCTCAGATAGGAGCCAGGTCCTGCAGGCACAAATCTCTCCAGAACATCAGGAGTCTACTAATAGGCTTCATGTACACAAATATTTAAAAAAAAACCCCACCAGCTAACAAGGGAAGGGAGCAGAGGAAGAAGAGATTAGACATTGGCCAG